GACACCCGGCTCCCCTCCCCTCTGAGTCTTCAGTGCTTCTCCAACTATCCTCCTTAGCTCGTTGAAGTTTGCCTTCCTAAAATCTAGGGCCACCACCTGACTGCTTGCCTTTGCCACCTTGCGGTGAATGGTGAATTCTAGCAGGCAGTGGTCACTGTCGCCCAGGGGGTCGAGCGCCCGCAGCCCCCTCACTTAGGTGCGAGTAAATTTTTTTTGTACATTTTCATTCCAGTGTTGCCTGACTTCTTGGCATTCTCCACATGTGTTGTATTGGATGGAGAAATACACTTCCAGCTCTTGCTTGCTGTGTACTTCTGAACAGGAGTTTACTCGTGCAGCCTCGTGGCAAAGCTTTGTTAATGTAACTTGACAGACAAATCTGTTCACTATCTTTCAGGGTGTTAAGTTGCCTTAACATTTCAGTTAGCAGGAAATCAATTGATTAAACAGCCTTACTTTTAAAAACCTTGTTTGCCCCTTGTTTGGAAATGTAGACCAAGAACACGACCGTGCTAATCGGATTGGTGGCTTAAATCTGGAGTTATGACCCTCCTTGCAGTCCACCTTCTGTAGAAAATGGCAGTCTCCATAGCATGCCAATTTAGATCTGGATCTCTACGTGGCCCCAAGAATACGGATTTTGTATCTTTTTGGTTGACTTGACCGACTCTGGTCATGTCCTCCGACGCATTCTGATTAGAGCTCACCGGAGCAGACTCTATTAATCAAGTCCCCCGTTCTAACTGGAACGCTCTAGCATTGCTGCAGCATCACGTGTATACAGACATTGCATAGACCAGCTTGACCGAGATCACTTCAGTTTGATACCACATTCAGTCAGGTTTATCTCAAACCAGTTTCAGCTATTTTGAAGCTGGCTTATGTGCGATGAACGTCTGTTCTGTTACAGGTTTTAAACCATTTCCTGATCACTTAAACCAGTTTGTGTAATGTCTGTCCCTAGCCCATGGGTTTAAAAATGGCCTCTGGGGTGCTTTAACTAAAGCTTGTTGAATGCAATTTAGTTAGAGCATCCCACAGTCATTTTTAAACATGTGGGGGGCTTAATACATGTGACTTTGCAACATTTTAATTAGAATGGCTCTCTGGGAACCACTCTAATTAAAATGTCCCCCATCACCCCAAGCACGTGTCTAGGCAGCCTCAGGTGCCGTGGTTATTTTCCACAAGCTGATCTAAACTGTTAGGCTACCAGAGGCCACAGTATCACTAGCACCAAAGATAGTGCTACTTCTCCGTCAGCCGAGAGGTGCACATCTGATGCCTGATCATGACCAGTGCTATGTGGTCCAAGGACGCCAGGGTGTGAGAGAAGCACCATTTCCTCTTGCCTTTACAGCATGAGAGGATATGCCTAGTGCTGGTCCTGTGTGTTTTTTGGTGCGTCAAGTATTGCAGTGATGCACCAGTGGGCAGATCACTTTGCTTAAGCATCTGTCTCTCACAGTGAACATTCATGTGCAGAATGCATCGTGGCTTCTCCCAAATGGCCGTGAACTTGGCCACATTTCTTGTACAGAAGGTTGGAGCTCTGCATTTTGAAAGACTGAGACCAGTTAGACTGTGAAGCCCTATCCTGTGCTGCCTTCTCTTGTCCTGCACCATCCACACCAAACCAGTGTGCAAGGTTGACCTGTGTGCCAGTGTCCCCTTGAAAAGCTCCTATTAAAGTGTGAAAGGCTTGAGGGAGGGGAGGAGATTCGTCATATCAGTAATCTTGGCAATGACCTGCTTCTGCAGAGATGCAGACAAACAGCCAGAGGTTAATGTCACTTCCTTTGCCAGTCGGCATGACCGGCTCCAGCCATAGCATCGGTAAAATGCAGTCGGTACATCAATACCTCTTTCTTCTGTTGGGTCTTAAACTCTAAATTAGGATCTCTTGAACACTGAAGGCGAGGTGTGAAGTTCTGTACTGGTTTTACTGATGCAAAACCCCAGAAGTTTTTCTTTTCTTTAGTTGCTTGTGGCTAGTTCGATAGGGAATCTCAGAGGCAATTTACTGCCATTGCAAACTGGAGTAGAGATCGTTCATCCAGCAGTGCCCTTGAAAGTGTTCCTGCAGTCGAAATTTTCTGTGGGAGATGGATGCTGTGACGGTGTTTTAACTTTGATTAACGACATTTAAGCAGAACGATAAGAAAGAGATGGAATACCGTGTGCTCCCTGGGCATAGGCAGGGTTAGCTGTTAGAGGCATAATGAATGCCATCTGGTGCCCTGCTAGTTTTCTTTGTCTCTGGATTAGCAACAGAGATGTAAGAGAAGAAAAACAACCCGTACCAATGCTAACACACTTGGTAATGCATCTAACCTGTCACTGTTCCTTGCTGCATGTAAGATGGTGTGGCTGTTAGAAAGCAATGACTGTGCTCCTTACCCTTGTATCTTGTTTTTCTTGGCAGTATGACTTCTCCCTGGAAAAGAAAACCATGGAGTGGGCCGAAGAAATTAAAAAAATCCAAGCAGCTCAGAGAGAAGCTGAACAGAAGGCTGAGGTAGAAATAGCTCATTCAAAGGCCGCTTCAGAGGACAACAGCAAAATGGGCTTCTCTGAGGGACCTTGCCCGGGGGTGCTGCCCCCTCCCTTTAACCCCATTCTTGCTAGTCTGCAGCACAATAACATTCTCACCCCCACCCCTGCCAACAGCAGTGCCATAAAGCAGAAGGCCCTTAGTCCACCCTACCCAAAGGCAGATTTCAACCCAGCAGACTTCGAATGTGAAGAAGACCCGTTTGATAAACTGGAATTAAAAACCATTGATGACAAAGAGGAGCTGAAAAATATCCTTGAAATCCACGTCGGTACTACTGGGCCAATCGTGGCCCAGCTCTTGGACAGTGGCCTCCCCAAAGTAGGGCCCGAATCTGTATTACAAGATCCAGAAGTTCTGGCATCCATAGAAAGGGCCACCTTGGACTTCAAACCCCTTCACAAACCGAACGGCTTTATTACTTTACCACAGTTAGGAAACTGTGAAAAGATGTCCTTGTCTTCCAAAGTGTCCCTCTCCCCTATCACGTCAGTGAGCAATATCAAATCTCTCTCCTTTCCCAAACTCGACTCTGATGAGAGCGATCAAAAACCCTCGAAGCTGACGAGCACTTTCCACAGCACTACCTGTCTCCGAAATGGCACTTTCCTTGGTTCTTTACAGAGCTGTGCTCAGAGCAGAGCTAGCGAACTGAACGGACATCACGTGGTGGGTCTTTCTGCTTTAAATGTGGACAGTGGCATGGAGACGTCGACAATATCCTCTTCATCCAGGCTGCCTTCCCTCTCTGCGCCAACAGTTTGTACAGAAGAACAGACGTCTCAGCCCACAGCAACCATGGTAAAGATATTAACACGGTCAGGGGAACCAGGGGCCATCAGCTTGAGGGCTGCACGTGGTAGCTTTTTAACATGTACTGTCCGCTTCCCTTTGATTTCCGTCATCCCAGTGCGGGCTGCAGTTCTCAGCATGCAGTGCAGTAGCTAATTCACACTGATCAGATCCATATGTAGCACTGAATTTGGGGAGTTATATCCCCCTCCCTCCCAAGACTGTATCACTGCTCTGGATCAAGACAGCTGCAATCTGACTTTTTTTTTAAAGGGCAACTAAGCTTTTTTTCCCCATCTCCTGGCAAGTAGACCTCAGGTTGGGGAGGACCGGGTTAGAGAGCTTCTGGAGGGGCTGGATGCGTTCAAGTCAGCGGGTCCGGATGCTCTCCACCCCAGGGTGTTGAGGGAGCTAGCTGGGGTTATTGCAGGGCCCCTGGCACGGCTCTATGAGCGATCGTGGTGCTTGGGCCAGGTGCCAGATGATTGGAAGGTAGCAAATGTGGTCCCCATCTTCAAGAA